CACAGTACTAGTAGCACATATTCGACTTCCTCTGAACCAAAACAAGTGGTCTGGGTCAACAGTTCATGGACTTTGACAGTTTGTTCAGCCTAGAAGTAAAGACTTTGCAGCCCAGAAGGTAACGAGCCCCGTTTGTTTCACAGAAGCGAGGAACTCAAAAGCCAACCATCCACCAAAAATTCAGAAAATTATAGGTGGGTGCTTTCTTGGGGCAAAAGAAGTCTTCTTATCTTGTTATTTCAGAATTAGCTATGTAGACCGAGCAAACGTTTTATCCCTCACGCTATCTGCAGTCCGCAGTACACATATTGAGCACCCAGCCTCAAAGCAGACAACGACAACTACGACAGCGAAACAATTGCAGATACTTTTAAGATCTAAAGCGATGTTAATTAGAACACGCGTCAACAACTGAAGATCTAAGCCGATGTTAATTAGAACAGGCATCAAGGACTGAAGAAATCAAAAGGAAGCAACTACCGAGCAAGTAATTCTATCCGGCTAACTTGCTACCTAAACGCCTAAACCCTTCCCAACTGAACCACCACACGCACACAAAATGGAAATCGCCCACCTGTGGTGCGAACTAATATTTGAAAAATCAAACAAATCCAGTACTCACCACCACAAATTAAGGAGTACTGGGTACTAGGCGAAAATAAATAGTACTAAATTGAAAAGGAAAAGGAACCGAGAGCTCGTACTTTTACCGCCACCGAGCACCTTGTGCACGGAGGTGTCCTCGCCGAGCAGCCTGAACCCCCGGGACCTCACCGTCGTGTCCGGCGCAGGCGCAGGCGGGGCCGCCTTCTCCGGCGAGGCGTCGGTGCTAGCCGGCGGCTCCGCCGACAGCGGCGGGGCGCCCTCGGCGGGAGCTGCCGGGGTCGGCGGGGGCGCGGCGACGGTCTCCTCGGCTGGATCGGCCATGGATGGTGCAAACGAAGCTACAGGAAAGCTAAGCACGAGTTCCCCTCTGGTTCCCTGCTCTCGTAAAGCGCGCGTTGTGTGGTGGAAGTGTGCGCCTTGGCTGCCTTTTTCTCATCGATGAAGGGGAGGTGGATGGAGATCTCTAGAATATGGAGCGAGTGGGACGGCCGTTAGGGGCCGTCACGGCGTGATGGTGCTTTTTCGGTGGTGGAGCAGGCGGTACGTGCACCCCAGAAAGGGTTGCTTTTCTTTACAGGGTGAGTATGCGCGTACGTACGAATGCTTGCATTTGTATTTTATTAAAAAAATTAAAAAGATATAGTATATTTTTAGTTTTTTTCCGGGTATATCCTTTAGGTTTCTTTGGCATGTGCTCTAGTAATTTAGAAATGTAGGAATAAGAATACATTGAATTACCATCTATCATAAATAGAATTCTATAGACTTTCAAAACACGAAATCCTGCAATATGTGCGTCACTGGTGAAATAAACACATGATCTTTGAAAATTTGAGGAGAGGTGGTAAAGAGATGAAGTAAAAAATGAATTGTAACTTTCAAAGGAAACGTAAAATGAGATTTGAACTTGAGTTTAGATTCCTATGGAAGAAGATACTAGGATAATGGACTCCATGTGGATATTTAGTAGCCCCGATCTTACGATCCAAAGGGTTTTCATAAGAAAAAGGTTATACGACTTATCATTTGAGAAGAAGAGAGTACATCGGTAGCACATTGAAAAATTGATCCTTATAAGAGCATCTTTGATTTGCATGCTTGTAAAAATATGATAATATAAGTCCCTTCGGGGACATCCGATAAAATATGGTAATATGAAACAATCAAAAAATAGAAAAACTTGTACAAAAAGTAAATGTATTCTCCTGCATTGTTCTTTGTGCAAATGTATAGTTAGAATATTTAAAACTGTTTCAAAGAAATTTAAGAAAAAATAATTGTTTCCTTTTGCTTAATTCCTTCTAACTAATACTTGCCATCAAAGAAAAAAGTAGTGTTATTCTTATTTCTCTGCGAAACAAAGGTGCACTAATTATATGTCGGTGACGGTTGCGGGTAAACTTTGGTGCTTTGAATTGACCTTGATCTGGTGGCTAGGGTTTTGGAGCTGCAGCGCTCGCGAATACTTGGCTTTCTTTCTGAAGTGGTGGTCTCCTTCAGATTCATTGTTGTACAATTTTTTTCTTGACGATCATGTTATTCTAGTGAGCGACTCTAGTTCTTGGTGATCCTTCTAATGCAACGGCAACATTAATATTTTTTCTCTCTCCATATTTGTCAATGAGTTCTGAAAGCAAGGTTTGACGGCCTTCATCGATGAATAGGGATGCAACGAGCACCAACTGCGTTCTATGAAGGGTGCAATTTGTCCGTGGGTCATTTTGTAATACTCCTTCCGTCTCAAATTTTGTGTCTTAGATTTGTTTAGATATGGATGTATCTAACAAATCTAAGACAAGAATTTTAGGACGGAGAGAGTACCTTCGCTTCAAAATAAAAATATGGTTTTAGTTCAACCATACTGTTTTGGATTGTCAAGAGCTTTATACTCGCTTTGCAAATAAACAAAAAATCTTCGGTATTCTTCACTAAGCCAGTAGCCACTCCATGTACGCCTAGCTATTTTAGCTCTGTCGACCGTAAAGTAACGGAGCAGGGAATCCGTCGGCACAGCCCTGGCCGCATACGGAGATGCAGTGCGGAATCCTGGCGCTACGCGTGATGTGGCGACCGCCGAGGACGACACGCGAACCCCCAGGGTTCGCCGGAAAAATCCGCCCGGACACGTGCAACTCTTGCTCGGACTAGCTGAGCCGATAGGTGTGGTGCTGCGTTTTCCAGCGGCACGCGTGGCCACTGGCCACCGCCTGCCCGTCCGCAACCAAACATCAAAGGCGTGATTGATTGACTTGCTGCTCCCAGCCTCCGAGTGATTCGTGTCGTGGGAATTAGGGATGGATGCATAAAACAACGGGAGGGTGAGCAGTGAAAGGTCCTTTTCGAACGTGTTTGGGTGAGGAAGAATTGGGCCTGTTGTTAGCCCATATTCTCTCGGGACTGCGTCGCACGAACTTTAAAGTATATTTGAGCTTTTTTACAGCTAAAACTAAAAGTATATCTGGGTTTGTCTCGCTGGAACGCTCTTATCGATAGTTTTCAGCGAGTTAGTATGAGCTGAGCCACAGCAAGCATATATGGATGGACCCCTCGCACGAGTGGAGGTTGCATGGATGCGAGCTGTGCTGCTTCTTCTTCTACCTTAGCTAATCTTCTTCCTAATCTCCTTTCTTTCTTCTCCCTTTTAATCTACACAACGATACTTCGATGCGTGATAAATTCTACATGAAAAATATACGTATAGATGTGGTTTCATTCAGGCGATTGGTTTGTAGTTTCATCAACCGTGAATGCCTAATTTTGTGTTCACATTTGAAGCTATTTTGGACGAATTTTATTAAATTCGTTTCGCAGGATCGACCGTTTAAAATTTTCTTTCACCAGCAGCCTAATCTTGCAGTTCTTACGACATTTGTGTTGCAAGTTTTATGTTTCGATGATTGTTCATCTCGGTCTTCTCTCCTCGATCCGCCATGACGCGAACACTGTATTTCTTCTACTCTATCATATGCTTCAGAGCCCTCCTATTCGTCCCCCTCGACGCTGACGTCGTTCCTCTTGACCTCCTTGCCCGCGTCCTACTACACCGAAGTCATTTTCGGCATTGTTCATCTCGGCCTCCTCTCTCTCGTTCTACTGCACTAACGCTGCCATAGCGCACGCACTGCATTTCTCCTCCTCTGACATCTTTCTTCGTGCGGACTTTCTCTGCGGTGACGAGGCTAGCAACTAGTTCCCGCACCGACAACGGGGTCACTCGCGCACGACTCCGTGTTTGTCGTGTTGGTCGCGGAGCCACGACCACCGTCCACCGCAGTCATCATGGTCTGACACGCACTACATTTCTTCTCCCCGTTCCTCTGCCTCATGCCTCAGCGCTCCTCCGCATGGATTTTCTCTGCGACGGCAACGCTAGCAACTAGTTCGCCGCGGCGCCGGTAAGAACGCCCACCCGATACTCTGTGCTCATCGTGTCGGACGCGACAACGCGGTCACCGTTCACCGCAGTGGCGTGGCACAGTGTGTGTGGTAAATGTAAGTGTTAGCTCTTAATCATAGCCCACGTATAAACCCAAACACCATGTAGTTGCGTGAGCCGAGCCAATGCAGGCCACCAAACGCTATGCCAAAATTACTCCTCCAATGCGAGAGACCTAAATGTGGGCAACCATATACATATGTCGATTTTTTGCATGTTTTCCTTACCCAGGCTCGGTTGAGCCAGGCTTAGCTAGCCAGGCCTGGCTCACAAGGCTACCAAACACGTCCCTGGTGGATTGACAAGGCTATCGGTTATTGCTACGTGTTCCGAAGATGACGTAGTGCATATTTTTCTTTTCCTACGATCAACATCATGGTACAATTAAATTCATATGAAATTGGTTAGTTGAATTTTTTAAACGACATAAAAGAAATGTCATTTATGTTGATTAAGAAGAAGAAAGGAGTCTGGTTAATTAGCGGAAAATCAAACAAGAACCGTGACCCGCTGGTGAGGTGCATGAAAAGATATATCACATCACACACACACCACCGCAGTAAAACATTGTCGAGGTTGGGCATTGACGTCGTCATCACTTCTTCTTGAGCAAGCGACAACGGTTCCACCTTGCGATCACCAACATAACTCAAATCACAAAGGCCACAAGAAGTCACATGAAGATCAAAGCTGAATAACCAGCCACACATCAAGAACTAGACTATGGCCTCCATTGAGCCGTTCCCGGACCTCCCATGCTTCGAAGTAGCCTCATGATACGTCTCCGTCGTATCTACTTTTTCAAACACTTTTGCCCTTGTTTTGGACTCTAACTTGCATGATTTGAATGGAACTAACCCGGACTGACATTGTTTTCAGCAGAACTGTCATGGTGTTATTTTTGTGCAGAAAAAAAGTTCTCGGGATGACCTGAAAATTCACGGAACAACTTTTCAGAATTAATAAAAAATACCGGCGAAAGAATTAGCGTCAGGGGGCCCACACCCTGTCCACGAGGGTGGAGGCGCGCCCCCTCCCCCTGGGCGCGCCCCCTGCCTCGTGGGCCCCCTGGACGTCCACCGACCACAACTCCAACTCCATATATTTTCTTTCGTGGAGAAAAAAATCAGAGAGAAAGTTTCATCGCTTTTATGATACGGAGCCGCCGCCAAGCCCTAAACTCTCTTGGGAGGGCTGATTTGGAGTCCGTTCGGGGCTCCGGAGAGGGGGATTCGTCGCCGTCGTCATCATCAACCATCCTCCACCACCAATTTCACGATGCTCACCGCCGTGCGTGAGTAATTCCATCATAGGCTTGCTGGACGATGATGGGTTGGATGAGATTTACCATGTAATCAAGTTAGTTTTGTTAGGGTTTGATCCCTAGTATCCACTATGTTCTGAGATTGATGTTGCTATGACTTTGCTATGCTTAATGCTTGTCACTAGGGCCCGAGTGTCATGATTTCAGATCTGAACCTATTATGTTTTCATGAATATATGTGAGTTCTTGATCCTATCTTGCAAGTCTATAGTCACCTATTATGTGTTATACGATCGGACAACCCTGAAGTGACAATAATCGGGATACTTCTCGGTGATGACCGTATTTGAGGAGTTCATGTATTCACTAAGTGCAAATGCTTTAGTCCGGTACTCTATTAAAAGGAGGCCTTAATATCCCTTAGTTTCCATTAGGACACCGTTGCCAAGGGAGGGTAGGACAAAAGATGTCATGCAAGTTCTTTTCCATAAGCATGTATGACTATATTCGGAATACATGCCTACATTACATTGATGAACTGGAGCTAGTTCTGTGTCACCCTATGTTATAACTGTTACATGATGAACCGCATCCGACATAATTATCCATCACTGATCCAAT